CTGTCCCCTCTGTCCTGGGGCTGGCACTGTCCCCTCTGTCCTGGGGCTGGCACTGTCCCCTCCCCTCTGTCCTGGGGCTGGCACTGTCACCTCTGTCCTGGGGCTGGCACTGTCACCTCTCTGCCACTGTGACCCTGGGGGCGGCTGGTCCTGTCCCCTCTGTCCCGGGACTGGCACTGTCCTCACTGTCCTGGGGCTGGCACTGTCACCTCTCCTCTGTCCTGGGGCTGGCACTGTCCCCACTGTCCTGGGGCTGGCACTGTCCCCTGTGTCCTGGGGCTGGCACTGTCCCTTCTCTGCCACCGTGACCCTGGGGGTGGTCAGTCCCATCCCTTTTGTCCTGGGGCTGGCACTGTCCCCTCTGTCCCGGGGCTGCCACTGTCCCCTCTGTCCTGGGGCTGGCACTGTCCCCTCTCTGCCACTGTAACCCTGGGCACAGCTGGTCCCGTCCCCTCTGTCCCGGGGCTGCTGCTGTCCCCTCTGTCCTGGCACTGTCACCTCCCCTCTGCCCTGGGGCTGGCACTGTCCCCTCTGTTCTGTGACTGGCACTGTCACCTCTGTCCCGGGGTTGGCACTGTCCTCTCATGGGGTGGGGATGGGACTGTCCCCTCCCACTGGGGGGCTGCCACTGTCCCCTCTGTCCTGGCACTGTCACCTCTCCTCTGTCCTGGGGCTGGCACTGTCCCCTCTGTCCTGGGGCTGGCACTGTCCTCTCCCTGGGGTGGGGACGGGACTGTCCCTTCCCACTGCGGGCTGGGGACTGTCCCCTCCCTGGCCCTGTCCCCTCCCTGGCCCTGTCCCCTCCCTGGCACTGTGTCCCCCATCCTGGGGTTGGCCCTGTCACCTCCCCTCTGTGCTGGGGCTGCCCTTGTTCCCTCTGGCCCAGCACTGGCACCGTCCCCCAGAGTGGGGCTGGCCCTGCTCCTGTCCCCTGTGTCTCTGTCCCTCTGGCCCATCCCTGTCCCTGTCCCCTGTGTCCCTGTCCCATTCCTGTCCCCTCTCCCCCTGTCTGTCCCTGTCCCCCGTCCCCTGACTGTCCCTGTCTGTCCCTGTCCCCCTGTCTGTCGTTGTCCCCTTGTCTGTCTCTATCCCCGACTGTCCTCTCTGTCCCCCGTCTGTCCCTGTCCCCCTGACTGTCCCTGTCCTTGTCCCCTGTCCCCCTGACTGTCCCTGTCCCCTTGTCTGTCCCTGTCCCCTGACTGTCCCTGTCCCCCTGACTGTCCCTGTCTGTCCCTGTCCCCTGACTGTCCCCTGTGTCCCCAGCTGACACCAAGCGGAAGGTTCAGGAGATCTCGGAGGAGCTTCGCTCCCTGGACACGCGGCTCTGGAGTGAGAGGGACAGCGGGACCCCCCCCC